GGTGTGTTTTTTATTTCTTTTCTTTGAGTCATTTTGAATTCTTTATTTTTCTTTTATTTCTGTTCTTTAGTTGAGTCTATTTAAGTCCTTGTTTTGAGTCTTTTTTTTTAAAACACTTAGTTTTTGTCTCCTTGAGTGAGTCTTAGTTTTTTTTGTCTATTTGGGTGAGTTTGTTCTTTCTATTTGTTTATTTTTTGTTGTTTCTTTTGAGTCAATTTGTCTTGAGGCAGTTTTGAGTCTTCTTTTGTTTGTCTTGAATCAATTTTTGTGTCTTCTTTTGATTCTTTGTGTGTTAGTTTCTTTTCAACTTTGTTTTGTCAATTTTTGGCTAAAAAGGGGGAGAAAAGTGTCATTGAGTCTTGTCTAGTGTTGTTTCCTTCTATATGCAATAATTTAGGGGGAGAATGGTTGTCTGTCATGTGAGTCTTGAGTTATAGTTTGTCTTGTTTATCCTTTTGTTGTTTCTTCTATTGTAGTAGTTTATAGGATATCCTACTGGATGTTATAACATCTTGTCCGTTGTGTCTTTTCTGTTTGAGTCATGTCTTTTGTGTCTTGTGTTATGGGTTATGAGCATTGTTGTGTCTTGTGCTTAGATAAAAGTTTCTTCTTCCTCTTAAGGGGGAGATTTATTCCTCAGTGGCAAGAATTGATTTTGTGTTTGAGGGGGAGTAACTCTTATCTTCTTCATGTACAAAGTTTACATGTTTAGCATGTAAGTTATGTTTGTGGTCTTATTCCTTTGTGGTCCTATTTTTCGGTGGTGTTATTCCTCTGTGGTTTTATTCCTCTCTCTTTTAATTGGGCTTTGGTTGTTTTAGCCAAATTTTTCCAAAAGGGGAGATGTTTAGTAGCATGGTTTTGGGATTGGCAACAATTTTGCTAAAACATGATTGACAACAAAGATGTTATGTGAGATGTTCTAACATGTTGGGCATGTTCATTGAAGAAATATATTATGTCAGATGTTGTGACATTTTGTACCAAAACATGTCAAAGTTGTTTTAAATCTTGACAGATTTAATTGGATTCTGTGATATTCCTTTTAGATAGGTCTCAGTAAATTTCGCAGGTCAAGAAGATTTAACCTGGAACAAGTTTTGTATCTCCAGCTGTACATAAGTTACTAAATTGGGCCTTGAGACAATTTAGGAAACTTGGTATTGTTTGTTCCAATATTTAAGGATATTTTGCTGCACATTTGGTACATCACTCAGCTTATGGATCAAGAAATATCTGGATACAGATTTTGAAGCCCATGGACTGTAGAGGTGTATTTAAAGAGAAGACTTAAACCTAATGTATCAATTCTTTCAATGAGTTTTTCATAATTTGTAAATTAGGGGAAGCTTAGAATCTTAGGTTTTTAGAGTCTTTTGTGTGGGTGTAAGTCACCCATGTATCTTTTGATACTATGTGGTAGACTGATTGTTACTTGACATTTTGTCAATTTATTGTTCTTACTCTAAAGCTTTTAAGAAAAGAGTTGAGTGTTTGTATTATAAGTGTAATCTTCTTGTTGAGTTGTTCTTGATACAATAACTGGGATTGAGATTGTTAGATATCACTAAGGTGATTAGGAAGTTAGATGGCATTTCTCGTATCTGAAACAACCGGCTGAAAATCATCAAAACAATGAAGTCGCCATCGAACGTCTTTTATCCCACGTGAAGGGAAAGGTAAACATCGAGTAAACCTGAGAAGGGTGAAATTGAGGTCGAACGACCAAGAGATAAGGGTAAGGGAGTCTGTTACGCGAGGGGAAGGTATTAGCACCCCACACGCCCGTAGTACTCTACGGTATCCACTCTTGTTGTCTATCTTATGGGGGTGTTCAATCTAGGCTTATTGTTTACTATACTACTGGAGAATGCATGCAAAAGAAAGGAGAAAAGAATGTAGGGAAAATAAAATTGTGCTCGCTTGGGCCCTACCCCAATGCCTACGTATCCCTTTTAAGGAATCAGAGCAGCCGTAGTTCGGCTTACATGTTTTTGTTTATTTGTATTTTTTACTGAACAGTATTAATTTCGCCTTCTGCCGCAACTCGACCTTTGGAGACTTACGCGTCAGCACAGAAGTGAATTAACATGTTCTCTTGAAAAGTTTGGAAAGAAATGTGCCTGGACGCACAAAGGTTTGAATTTGTTTGTTTTTGAATGAACGATAGTAATTTCTCCTTCTGCCGCAACTCGACCCTTTGGAGATTTACGCGTCAGCACAAAAGTGAATTAATACACTCTTTTGAAAAGGGTTTGAAAGAAAGGCCCGAAGGCAAAAAAGAGTTTTGTGTTTGTTGGTATTTTTGCTTGTAGGTAACAGCTAGTTGATCTCGAGAGAGAGATTTTAGCCATTTCTCTATTTATTCATGAAATGTTCTTTGAGACTTGAACCACGCCAAGTCTTAGAATGGAAGAACGATAAGATCGAGAAGAGACCCGCTTATCATCTCCCATGTTCAACAATGGCACGATTCTCGTCAGTAAATTTTTAGTATTTTGAAGTTTGCGAGAAAAAGAAGTTTTTGTTTTAGATGCATATGCGAAAAGGGAAAGAAAAGTCAAAGGGAGATTAACCTACTTCTAAACCTAAAGTTATCGTGCATTAGTAGCCCTAAGTCAGGGATGAATGAAAGGGAAACATCTACCTAATGTTAGCATGCATATGGTTTGTGGTAAAGCCCTACTTCTCATGATTTTTAGAAAAGCAGTAAAGTGCGAAATGAGGAATAAAATAAAGTCGCATTGATACCGAACGGAGGAGGTCCGTTGCCTCTTCGAAATTGCGCAAGCGGTAAGAAAATTCTACCAAAGCTTCCTTGAACGAGTGATCGGAGAATTAATCCCGAGCATTCCACATTGCAAGAGCTACATCAACATTCTATCACAAAGTCTTGGCTAAAAATGACAGCAAAAATGATTACCAAATATAAAAAGAAATAATAGAAACTTCTAATAAAATTTTAAAGAAAAAATCTAAAAAAATCTAAAATATTCTACTATTTTTATATCATTTTTATTATCAATTAAGAGAATAATATTAAACTAGAAATAAAAGACTGAAATAAAAAAGAAAGTTAGAAGACTCAAGGAGTACAAGTCTGGACACATACGATGTAGTATCAAATGGTGCAATTTCCGATCTGAAGGAACCCAATGCAGACTATGTATGACAATGGTTATTAAAAAAACAATGGACACCAGCCCCTAGAGATTTTGGCCCAGGTCCACCACTATTATCAATATCTTCATTACTTATTTCAGATTTTTATTTAGTTAAAATAAATAATTAAAAGAAAAGGGAAAGCAGGGAGAATGCGTATACGATGATGTTTGGTTCCATCCGTCGTGGCCATTCAGCTACCACACAGCTAATCAACCTTTTCATCCTATTCATCCTCTCTCATTTCTGACTTGCAATTTCTGATTAGTATTCCGCCGCACTAGAAATCACCTCCGGCGGCGGAAGAGGTCCAAAATGCACCAAACCGCCATCACCTTGCTCGTAACCTTCCTCTCCTTCCATATCTGATCTCTAATTTTCTCAAACTCTCGTCAAAACCTCTACATCACGAACCCTAGAAAAACAAAGTACAGAATTAACTGGTAACAAAGCTTGCAATCGTGTTATTGGAAGAGGAGAAAAGCTCATAGGATCCTAAACTACTCCGCGGTATAAAGAAAGCTAAGAGAATTCGAGGAAAGGGCTATCTAGCTGGCCGCGGTTATCATGTTGAAGAGGAAGACGAAAGAATCGAAAGAAATTAGACCTCCCAGGTACAATTCACCACTTTTAGCTTTAATTTTTCACCTCTGCCTTCTTCTGCTTCTTTTTTGCTTATTCTGATTTGTGCTTTTTCATAGCGTCGATGCTGTGTTGGATTGTTGTGTTCTTTGTGATTCGTGAACTGTGAATTTGTTGGAATTGTGGGTGATTCCGACTCGATGTTGTTGCTTGATTACAGAGAATGAAGATGATAATCACAAAAGTGTGGATTCGGTTATGGAGATGGAAATGGCGAGGTTGCAGAGGCTCGGAGTGTTAAGGTTCAGTGGAGAGGATGAAAGTTGTTATAAGATGATGAAGGTGGTTTAAAGTGAAGAGATGATGAAGTTGTTGAAGTTGATTATTGAAGTGTTGTTGTTGTACTGTGAAAGGGAATGATGCAAGGATGAAGGTGATGAAAAAACCAGAAAGAAAGTGTAGAGAAGTTGATGAAGAAAAGATTTTGTGTGATGCAGTTATTTGCAAAGAAAAAAAGAGAAGAATTTTCTGAGAGCTTCTTCCTGTTATTCTCCAAGAATGTGTAGCATTGTGGAAGGTTGAAGAAGGAAGCAGAGAGAATTATGAATGAAGGTACATAGAAAGCTCAGAGATATGAGAGAATTTTTTTGGTGAGTTCTTTGTGAATTTTTCTCTGTTTTTTTAGGAATGACCCTGTTTGAAGGGATCTCCTCATAATGAATCCTGATTCTGTATATATGATGAGAGAGCTGGAGGGAGCTTTCATAAAAATTCTATTTTTGGTTTTAGAGTTAGTTATATGGTTAGGAGCTTAGAAAATGTTAGAGTTAGTTAGAAAATTCTGTTAAGTTAGAATTCTGTTAGAAAATTTTGGTTAGAAGTTTGTTATGGTTACAAGTTAGTTGTGACAGTTAGGAAAGTTAGAAATTATGTTAATTCTGTTTGCAGTTAGTAGTTAGTTTGTTACTCTGTTTGACAGTTAGTTAGTAGAAGTTAGTTTAAGAGGAATTCTGTTAGTAATCTGTTTTGGAATGGTTAGAATTCTGCTTTGTTACAATTTCTTAGAACTGAACTGTTAACTGTTTATTGATTTTTGTTTTTTAATCTTTCTATGCAGGGCTGAACTGTGGACGGGCTAGGAGTTTCCTCTAACTTTTGGAGAGTTTCGATTTCACTAGCCTTTGCAGCTTCGATGAGCGTTGTCGCAGAAGCCTCTTTGTTGCTCGCTAGTTTATCAAACTCCTCGACCATGCGGTTTAAGGAATCAAATTCCTCCTTTTAACGCGTCTCCCAGATGAAGTCATAATCTCAGTTCCGGTCTTCTGTTTTTTTCTTTTCGATCTACGAATGCAGTCCATGTGAGTGTCCCCATCGTCAATGTTATCGGTGCTGCAACCAGGATCACCAGAGGCACTGGAGCTTGAATATCCTTTCTCACCCCGGGAAGAACTATCTTCAGTTAAATTATATTCTGAATCAGTATCATCAGCAAACACTTCAATTTCTGGCACCCAGTCCATAGCATCTATAAACTCTGGTAGTGGATCTATAAGCATGTCCAAATCAGCCAATGGAAGCATATGATACTCTGGATCCAGACTGAAATCAGGACCAACAACAAGCTTTAGCGATGATGGCTTCCACTCAATGCCTAAAGCTCCTAGTCGTCTCTTTTGAAATTCACTCTGATAAGGTTCTGGGTATGGTATCATTGCTGAATCACAAAGTGAATCTTGCATGTTACGTTGATATGGAATGAGCTGAGTTTCCATGTGTGTCTTGAATGAGAGGTCGATAATCACCAAGAAAGAACTTGGCCCATGCTTAATATATATAGTTGACCAACATCATCAGATAGTATAATTGATGTCCCGTCCGGAGAAAATTTTCCATCCACCAACTTGAAGCGTGATATCTCATATATCCTAATAGGCACGCCTTCTCATATATCCCATACAATAGTTCTTCCATCATATCCAGCACTCATTGCTATCTGTGGATTAAAAGGATGAACATCCAGAACATATGTAGATTCAGTATGTCCAGTCAATGAGTGCACTAAGCTGCCATCAGAAGCATTCCAAACACAGATTCTGCAATCCATAATAGCTGCAAGAACAAAGCGGTTGTCTAGGCTCCAAACAATCATATTTACACCTCATGGTATTGGTAGAATTCTCTGGCGTGGACCACCTCTTTGAGGTTGTAGAGGCATAGGTGGAGATGGAACTTTGAGATGATATGCACGAGCCCAGCGACCACTTCTTCCATGTGACCTTCGTGATTTTGGAATCCATATAATAGCACTGCCATCGCGAGAGCAGGTAACTATGTTATCATGATTCAACCAAGAGTTCTTAAATTTGGGAACATTTTCCTCCTTTGCCCAAACACCCTCGATAACATAATAAGATTTAGATTTTGACTTCTTAACAATAGGATTTTCACCAGAGAATGCACCTTCATCAAATAGATAAACAACATCTTTAACCGATTGAATCGGGGGATTAGTATCAACCTCTCCAACAATAGGTTTTGTTGAATTATGAGACTCAGTAACACTTTTCCTGATTCTAGCTACCATTGCACCTTCTTTAATATATAAAATAAATAGCCTTTGAACTTTCAAAGCAAACCTTTAAATTTTAAGGCTTGGAAATTGAAATTAGTGAATTTGTGTTGAAGTAGTATGAAGATTACGGTGAAAAGGTAAGGTCAAACTGTGGGATTTCGTGGAAGACATATGAAGATTAGGCTTTGGTGTTGTGTAGGATTTTTATAATTTCTTTTGTAACATGATAGTAAAATTGTGATGAAAATGTTTTGAATGCCATCTTGTATTGTAATGTAGCATGGAATTAGTTAAACTTGCAAAGTAATTTTGAGAATTCAATGATAATTTCTTCAATGTACCTTTCTCCTCGAAACTGATTTTGAAATTCCAAGTTCTTTTTCTCAAATATTTCCTTTAAATACCTTTATATGAATTTAAATAATCATGGTACGAATTCAAAATATTTGCAAGGTAATCATAAGAGACTTTAATCTTGAATGAATTCTTGAATGACTATTTGGATGAAACTATGGTTGTTGGATAGTATTTTCTTGAACCATGAATGAAAGGGTTTGAATAAATGTTTGAACGCATTGTGAACTTGAATCTGGAATAACGATGAACATCTTTGTAATATGGATGAACTCCGACTTGAAATAAGACCTTGCAGTCTGTACTTTACCTTCCAAGAAACTCATATGACCAATACTTACGGCTTTTTGCCGACTTTAATCCAACCAAACACTTTCGAACATCTTGAATTCAAATCAAACTTCAAATCCAAATCACACTTGCATTCTCAATGAACTCCTAACTTCAATCTTGAATCTAAATCAACTTGTATGGTAAGTAATTTGAATAGACAATAAAATCTTAATCTTTAAAAGAAAATTCACAACCTTGCCTTTTGTATCATGCCTCATATTCCACGATTCAATCCATAAGTCTCTTATCTTGACAAAGTCCTTCCCTAATTGACGACCTTAAATCATCAAAGATGAACGTAAATGATAATGAAAGAATATGATCAAGATTAATATGAAACCTTATTTCCCCTGATCTTCAATTACTTGAACGTTTATCAACGAATAAAAACCCTGATTTCTAATGAAATTTCCCTTTTTTTGAACTAATATTTCTTTTCCTTTACCGTACCATTCTTCAAATGCAACTCGATTGCCTAACATATATTAGATGAAAGTTCAAGGGAGACCTTGGTCCAAAAGTTATTTTTCAAAGCTTACTTTAACCGAAGTCAACAGATCTTATCCACATATCTTTGAAATTGGCCCATGATTATGCATCTCAAGGTCTCATAAGATCTTGTAAGCCCATCAACCAGGTATGCCATTTCGAACAAAACCCTGCCTCGAATGCCTTGAACCTTGAATTACTTTGCATGAATTCTTCCACGAGAAGCCTACTTCAATCCAAGTCTGCTCGCATCGCAGATAACGAATGACAATGATGAGGACAATAATTGCCTTGGTTAAGGAGAAGTCCACGAATTCATATCTAAGGTCATGAACCGCGCTTCATAATTCAATCCCCAGCCCTTAGCGATCGGTTATTTCATCTTAAAATTAGTGCCATAAGGAATACCTTACAGATGGATGATAAAGTCTGAATCACAGAAGAATTCCCTTGATGTGAAACCCTCACAATCTTGATTCCTCGTTTAGACACACAGAGAAATATCCGGATAAAACATCTTTGAACCATAATTCAACAAAACCCAAATTGATTAACTGAGGAGTAGATGATTGTCATGTCACAGTCATTAATCCTAATCGAGTGACAAGCATACTTATAGGAAAGGACACCATGATTCGAAGCCCCCATATGCTAGGTCATGTCCTGGAATTCTTTACCAGAATGGCCTACAATCGGTTGTCTATCAGAAGATATTATCCATGTAACTTGGTGGATAAGAAGTCCAAAAATGAGCCTGAACCAAAATCTTAATTCCAAAACCTTGTACACCGAGAAGACCCTGGATAATCAAACTTATTCAACAGATACACCTTTAATCAGCTGTAAACCCTAACTTCCTAACTGGTGATCTTTTGAACCTCAGGCGATCTATTTTATGAAAAATGTGTGCTATGCAAATGACCCCTTGGAATGATGCGGATGAATGCAAAAGTATAAGCCAAAATAAGAGAAATTAGGAGGGCAAATTTTGGGGTGCAACAGTATCTAGATGGTGATTTCAAGGTAGAAGTTGCATTTGATAGAGATTAAGTGAAAAGTTGTAAATTGAGAATGTTTAGGCTTTAAATTGATACTACTAATAGTGGATTTCCTTCCTCGCTTGGTAGCTTTTAGAGTATGTGATGTTGCACCTAATTGGGTTAACAATTCTCTGTGTTATTTACCATTATGCAATTTAATTTCAGTATCAATCACAACTTAATTAATCTGTTCAATTTGTCAATAGATGTTGTAACATCTGTCTTGACATTGTTTTGATATTGGGATATTATTATTAACATGTCTTGCTTGTACCAGAAATTTCATCATTTGTACAAGAATCATTTGTATGAGTTTCTTCGCTAGTAGATGAAGAATTCGACAACATCGAAAACTATGTTCTAAAACAACAACAACAAAAATAACAACAACAACAACAACAACATCAAGAACATAAACAACAACAACCTTTTTTATCAACAGCAACAACATTCACAACCGTGGAAAATGAACTTTACTGTAGATGCATGGGGAAAAAGTTTTACGCACCGTAAACGTGATGACTAAGTAAAGGAGAATACTGTTTTGGCATTGGTGTTGGTGTTGTCTTCCTTCTCGATAATGACGATGATGTTAGTGTTGTCTTCCTTCCCGATGATGACGATAGTGTTCGTGTTGTCTTCCTCCTCGACATCAATGATCATGTTGGTGTTGTCAACCTCGTCGACGAAAATGACCAGTAAAGAGTGACAACAACAAAGTATTGAACGAAAAATGAATGATAAATAGTGAACGATGGTGTTAGGGTTGAAATCGTGTATCATTTCACAATATTGATGGTTAGGGTTGTTTCTTCTTGTTTCTTTTTTTAGTCGAAAATTGGAAACTGAAGAGACAAGCTAGCTAGAAGTGTATAATATTTAAAAAGCTACCACCACGGTCCAAACTCTAAACCATAATGATATATTATTTGCATAATGAAATATCATAAAGAAGCGTCAGTGTTTAGCCATTAAAATTTTTTTAATATAAAAACAAAATATATCACAACGGTTGAACTAACCAACCATCGTGCTATTTCCTTTATTTTTTATTTAAAAATAAATGAAAAGTAAAAGGTGCGCCTTAACATTAAAGGAATAAAATACCTGAGTTGACTGAGGTTCGAACCCATGAAAGCTTGAATATATCATCACAATTAGTTAAAAAACCATTATTATATCCTAACAATTATTAATTAAAAATAAATAAAAAATGTACGCGCCTGAATTGAGAGACGTCACTACGGTGTTTGGAAGAACCGTAGTAACTTTTCCGTTGTTGTATACGTGTTTTGTAGTTGTGGACCTCTGAAATACAAATATATTAGGATTCATTAAGATTCGTATAGTAGGAATTAAAGAATTAAGTGAAATAGTATGTACTATTGTTCATTGAACAAGGACTATATATGCATTTATTTAAGTCCCACATCGGTTAATAACAAAACATACATAAGTTAACTTACTTTTTTTTGTCAAGTAGCTTAGTGGTTGGAATTCACTATTTTAAGGTGAACAAGTGAGATGTCGCAGATTTGAATTTGTGCCCCTACATTTAATATTTCTGCATAACTATCAACTAAGTTGGCATAACGAAACAAAACTAACTTACTTTTTCTAAGAAAGTAATAGACTTTTAAATTTAACTTGAATTCCAAACAGTATACAACACATATGCATCAATGAATTCCTTAAAAATGCTTTTAAAAATTTTATTTAAATATGATTTTTGTCGGGAGAGTCCGAGGAGTAAGGTCCGAAAATGTCAATGGGTCAAATATTCAAGGTTACAAGAGAATTTGACACCACATATCCACCAAAAATCTTAAGGCAATGGGGATATGAGTCATCACTCTTTTAAACCCGATATTTCCTTGACTTTAGCACAACTTTCACACTTGAAATCCAATAATCTCCCCACAAGTGTGAGTCACCCACAAGACTAGCTTGAATCTCCCCCATAATTCCGAGTCACTCACAAGACTAGCCATGATCTACTTCCACTCCTCCATTGCGGGTCAACCAAGCTCTAATTCTACTTGTTAAAGAAGTTCGAGGAGTGAGGTCCGGAAGTGTCAATGGACTAAACGTCCATAGTTACATGAGACTTTGACACCACATATTCTTCTAAAACCTTAAGGTAATGAATGTATGATTCGCCACTCGTATAAACTTATCATTTTCTTCATTCTTAGTCGATGTGAAACTTTAACACAACTTTTATATTTAAAATTCAACAATTTTAATTTCAATATTTAATATTATTTTTTAGAAAAATCTATATCAAATAACATTATATGGCTCAATAAAAGTGTTTAATTTCAAACCAATTTATTTAAAAGAAGCAAATCTCAAAAATTATATATATATATATATATATATATATATATATATATATATATATATATATATATATATATATATATATATATATATATATATATATATATATCGACAGAAAATAATTACTCAATTTACTCCTATAAAACATGTCTCAGGGCGACATCCTTTTTCTTAAAATAAAATTATAACTATTTTTTTAGGAAACAATTATAAATACCAAATAAAAATATAATAAAACTACCATTTATATACGTTCTAAAATCAACCATTTGATTGATAAGATCTCGCATGATTCATTCCTTTTAAGATAGAATTGATTGTGATGACTAATTAGTAAGATTTCACTTGATTCATTTTGGAGAGATTTATTGTTTGGCTAGTGTAATTGCAAGGTGTATTATGCAAGGTGAAACTATTCCTAACTTAGTATGCCTTAATAACAAACGTTTAAGATTAAAAATAAAAAAATTGGGTAGAAACGAATAACTCTCCCAAAGCAAAATAAAATTAAATAAAATCTAATATTTTTAATCAAATTAATATTACAAAAAATTCCAAAATAATCAAAATAATGTAAAAACTAATTCTCAACAATAAATCTATTATTTTTGAGAATATTTAATCCATTAGTCCATGATCATGAATCTTGGCCACTAAAATTTTCAAACTTCAACAAGTTTAAAGTAATCTTTTAGCTCTCTCTTTTTTTTTAACAAATATTATATATATATTTTAATTTTTTGATAAAATAAATTAAGAGACAAAAAAGCTTATTTAAAATTATATATTTTAAAATTTTTTATAATAATCAAGGCAGGTGATTCGGCAGAGCCAGATTATGTTCCACGTCTCCATCAAGAAAATGTTCCACATCTTCCATGAACAAAGCAATTTTCGTCATAATTGATATCTATTGTATAAAGAAATTTAATGAAAAAAAATCCATAAACAAAGTAATTTTCGTGATAATTGATATCTATTGTATAAAGAAATTTAATGAAAAAAAACTTTTTTTAGAAAATTAAAAATAATTTGACTAAAAATTGTTGTTTGAATAAAAATCTGAAAAATTATTGAAATAAAAAATAATAATTATAAATTAGATTTTTTTTTTAAATAACACAAAAATTAAAAATTAAAATTTTTTCTCTTTCACTTATACATTATGAATGTCAAATTGAGAGAATTCATATTTGATCTTTTTTCTCTTTTCAAACTTATATAAAAAAAAAAAAAGCAAAAATGTAATATATACTAATTAACTTATGCGTGTAATACTGAAAGTTGTTAGTTTGAGAATAAATCTCTGACAATATCTATTTCTTTTATTTTTTCATATTTCACTATTATACACAAATATTTTAAGTTAATCACTTCAAAAAATATTATTTAAAAATTTTAAATAATACAATTTTATAAGGATTTAATATCCAATACATTGAAATTTTTTAGATTATAACTAACGTATCTAGATAACATATAAATCAAATATATTGATCATTCAATTAATTTAAATAACAAAAAATTTCTTAAAAATATGACAGAACCGGATGTAGTAAATTTGAAATAAAATTAAAAAGATTAATAATAGTATATTTCACAAAATAAAAAATTATTATACTGAATAAAATAAAAGATATGAAATACAGTAAAATGTTCTAAAAAACAAAGCTGGCTAAGACCAAAGCCACAGCAAGAATGACACAATGAGAAACACTCAAATTTGAAGAACCACTAGAGCGAGGAGATGGTGCAGGAGCATTCCGTTGGCTTGGTGCCGAAGCATTCCATTCAGGGGCACTTGGTGTGGTAGCGGTCGAACCGGGTGAAGGGGCATTTGGTGCAGGAGCGGTCGAACCGGGTGAAGGGGCATTTGGTGCAGAAGCGGTCGATCCGGGTGAAGGAGCGGTCCATGAAGGCGTTGGAGCCTTCCACCCTGGTGCAGGAGATTCAGGTGCAGGAACCTTCCAACCTGGCACGGGAGCATGAGCCTTTGAACCTGGTGAGAGAGCCTTCGAATGTGGTGCAGGAGCAGTCCAACCTGGTGCAGGAGCCTTCCATGCTGGTGCGGGAGCAGTCCAACCTGGTGCACTTGGAGATGGAGCCTTATAACCTGGCGCAGGAGCAGTCCAACTTGGTGCGGGAGCCTTCAATGATGGTGCAGGCGATTGAACCGGTGCAACCCACGGTGATTTTGCAGGACCATGATTCTTGTGGCCATGTCTTGGAGACAAAACAAGAACAGCCAACTTTTCACCCTTTCCACAACTCTCAACATTTCCACTGATGAAGTAAAAGGAACCAGATCTATCCAAATTAACGGTCGATTCTCCCCCTTCAAACTTCTTGATCGGATTCTTTGTGTTACATGAATAATACTCTTTTTCATTTACCACCAACACTGAATCATATGCTTTATCATACTTAAAATCTGCATCCCAAAACAAAAACTAAACATCTCATCTATAAACCATGAACACCAAAAATACAACAGAGAAACTTACATATATACACCTTTTATCACTATCTCACTAAGATTTATATGAAATTCAAACATGAAAAAAATAACAAAACACTTACAAAGTGAGTCGTTGATTTGAAACCTTAGTGAATGAGCCCACTGAGCATAACCTGCAGAGGGCTTCACAGCCCATCCATCTTTTCCACCAACCTTAAACTTGTAACCACACGACAATGAAGAGATGAGAAACATCATCGACACGAACAAGATAAAACCAGAACTCATTTTAGCCATTCACTTTCACACAATGTGATAGAAATCTGAAAATGAAGTGAAAGGTAGTAGGGCTTATTTATACTTGAAATATGAATATCAAAACTATAAGCTGGTCCAAATCATGCTATTAATTATTTTACAGCCAGTGTTTTATCATACCATTATTATTATACGGTCTATTTATATTAATCGCAATCATTTTTTTCCTTTTAAACTAAAGAAATTAATTTATATTGACCAATTTAATTTATATTCATCTATTGTAAAACATTGTTATAAGCACATTCAATAAAATTACATAATACAGATATTATGATAGGATTTTATTTGATGTATATATGTATAAAAAAAATTGCCGTATAATCTATAATAATTGTCATTTAAATTTTTTAAATGTATTGTAAATTTGCATAGAATTGCTCAAAGACAACAAATTATCAAGATGATATTATCTATTAATGTATTTATCATTATTGTATATATAAAGTCAAAGGAATATAATATTTTCTTGGTCTTAAAATAATGGACCAAATAAAAAAAATTACACATTAAAAATTACATAAATAATTAGAAATACCATTTTTTTTTATAAATGAGTCATTTTTTAAGGAGGAAAAAATAATCATCAAAAAATATAATTAACAAAATTAAAATTATATTTATATAAAAAGAAAGAATAACGTTTATTTCTTTTAAATATTTTTTAAGTGTCATTCGTTATAAACGAAGAAAGTGCATGTATCTCGTGTGAATATATATGTACCAAACACATGTATTTCTTTTGTTTATAAACTACTACATCTATTTCCAATTATATTTTTTTTAAAATGATTTATTTTAAATTATAATTTATTTGACAATATTACATATCATATATTTATTACTCTATATTCTTTTATCAAACAAAATTACTTATCTTTATCATACCATAATAAATTATATAAATGATTTATAATTTTTTTCTCATATAAAATTAATTTAATATACAAAATAAAAGTAGTAATGTGTTCCATATATAATAAAGCAGAGAGTATTATTTTTTAAATAAGGATATAATATATTCCGCAATAAATTACTCATTTAAAAATAGGTATTTTAAAATAAACATTAATCAGTCTAATTAAATTAACTCACTTTACCTGACAGTTATTTATCCTATTTATTTACCTAGAGTGTGTTTGGTTGAGAGAAGAAATTAAGAAAATATGAGAAGAGAGAAATAATTGAAAAATGAATAACAAATAAAATAAATTTAATATGTTATTTGTTAGGAGGGAAATATAAAAGAAATAGAAGAGATAAAAGTGTAATTATTTTTTAAATAACATATATACTCTTAAATTTAAAAAATTAATGCTACAAAATTGTGTCATTAAAAATATTTTTTTATCACTATCTATTTAAATATGTATTTTAATTAAAAAATTATTATTATTTTAATTATTTAAAATAATTTGATTTATAAAAATGATTTTTTTAAGAAAAGAAAATAGACTAATATGTAACTAAAGAATACTAAATAAAAAAAACTAGAAAAATACAATAGATTTAACTTTGGCGAAATGTAAACCACAATAAATCAAAACAGGTATTATCAGTACACATTATGTCATTTTGTAAAAAAAAATATAGGCTTTGTCTGATAAATAAATTAATTTATGTCTTAATTATAGTTTATAACTGATGGTTAATGATTGATAGTTTATAGTTGATGATTGATGATTAACTATTTATAATTGATAAATTAATTAAAATATTTGATAAAATTAGTGATTCAATTAATTGATAAATTAAAATAATATAAAAAATATTTAATATATAATTATTTTATTTTAAATTAATATAAATTATTAAGAATATTAGTGAATTTTAGATAAAATAATAAGAAGAAAAATAGAAGAAAAAAATTATAATTTTATAAATTATAAACTAAAACGTTATTTAAAACAGCGTTTGAAAAATAATTTATGAATCAATAAAATAAATTATAAACTCGTAATAAAAAAATATTATCAAATAAATCTTTTATTATAATATAAGTTTATAAATGATAAATTAAAAAATTATCTTTTCAAACAGAGCCATAATATTTCCTTTTGTTTGTATTATAATTACAAATTTTTTGATACATGTAATTCAATTAATTGCAAAACTTTGTAAAGATATCAAAGTTGAAATTTCAAATGAATTCATTGTTTGTTGAAGAAAATTTCACTATTTTTTAATAAGAAAAATGTATTAAAAGAGCATAAGGGTGCTAAGCTCAAAGAAATCTTCAAAATAATTCTTAATTTTAGAATGATAGCATGCTATTATATCATTATTTTTTATGGTCAATAGGAAACTTTTCGAGAAAAGAAATTTAATAGTATGAATTTTAATGATTTTAACTATGATGTAAGTTAATTTTTCCATTTAATAGCAGGGTGTTTGTAAGACCAAGAAATTTGAGGGTTGTTAACCTACTACCTCTATTAGGTGGGAATTTCAGCATGAGCATATATTGATTAATATCTCATAATCTCTTATTATTGAAGGATTTTATCCTCTTCATCCATCCTGATACGTGGTGGTGGAATCACTCCAAAGACGACTCTTAAACGTGGCTTTGATACTCTTTTCTTTTCTCTCATGAGTTTCTTAGAGATCATCAGGTCACGTTGGTGGAGTCATTTCTCCATATTATTTGGAGTAGCTGGGTCTCCTTTATGATGCTAGTTTTCTCTTGGCAACTCATGGAGGATAAGATTTCTATTAGAGAGAACTTAGTCAAGAGGGGGATCATTGTTGGTTCTGAGGATGTCTCGTGTCTTTTTTGTTCGAAGTTTCTAAAGTCATCCACTCATATGTTTGTCACTTGCAAAGTAGTGGTTATTGTGTGGTATATGATTTTTAGATGGTTGGACTGGTCTCTAATCATCTCTAGTGAACTATTTTCCCTTTTTCAGATGTTTTTCTCTAGTGGTGATTTGTCTAGGCTTATGGGGTGGCTTATGATCTAGCATATATTGGTATGGTTGATTTGGAATTCTCTTAATGATATTAGTATTCTCATGTAAAGTAGGGACACCGAAGGACATGGAAGATATGAATATATTTTTTTCTTAGAAATGGTATCTTGGCGGATTGGTGGGGAACTCATGTGCTTTCTCAACATATTTAGAGAATCCTATCTGACATCTAAGCTAATGGTGGCGTGAGTGATTTTGATCTCCTTTTGGTGTGTTCTTGTCATTCGGTGAAGATTGGTGTCCTTTTTTGTAGGTCCTTAATTGAGGAGATCTGGTTAGGGATCTTCGGGTGCTTCTGATTTTTTTCCTTCTGTATGGCTTCTTTATCTGCATTCATTTTTGGTATCTTTTGTAGGTTGTTTTGATTGCTCGATACTTCTTGTGTTGTTTTTTATTACCTTGAGTTGTACTCTAGGCCTTTTGCACCTCTTTTTATATATATATATATATATATATATATATATATATATATATATATATATATATATATATATATATATATATATATATATATATATATATATATATATATATATATATATATATATATATATATATATATATATATATATATATATATATATATATATATATATATATATATATATATATATATATATATATATATATATATATATATATATATATATTCTTATTTATTTAAAAAAAATACAAATTTATAGTAAACTATTTTTAAAATTTGAGCATATTAAAAATATATAAAATATTTAACACCTAACTAATATTTCCCTAGTATATCTACAAAGAAAACTTTTAATAAATAATCAAATTAATGCATTTGTAAAAAAATAAATATGTGTATCACTACAAGAAAAAACTTGTTTAGTCAAGGGGGTTAAATCCCTCACAAAATGTAAACAAAAATCTCGCACAACAAAAATTTACGAGGGGACATATTCCACAACTAAACAGGTTAACAAAAATTATTTGCGAGGGGTCTGTCACCTTACTATTTTGCTTGGGGCTTACCTCATCATTGTAATCCTTATTTTTCTTGCTGCACACACACACACATGTGTAGGCGCAGACTAGGTGGCACATTGTGTCAGTATTTTGCTAGGGGTTAAGCCCCCTGATTTTTGGAATATGTGAGGGGATTAGCGCGATGCAAATTGGTTGATTATTTTCTTACAGGTTAGTCTTAACTAATATTTACAATATTTTATAAAAAATATATAATTATATTATTACAAATATAATAATATAAATATAATAAAATGACATTAATATAATAAATAAATTTATATTTTTAAATTTTGTAAAAATAAATTTAAATTAAATTAAATCATTCATGATTAAAGTTGAAATAAATTTATATTCTTTTCGGGAAGCAAATAGTATTGTGGATGAGCTTACTAAGGTTGAGAGATTGTTAAAGAATGGAGGTAAGATATATGAAGAAGCTCATGAGTTCCTCAAGAATATTCTTCAAAAGTATTCTCTTAGTTTTTCTACTCCTAGAATAATAGAAGTGTAATTTTTTTCTGTTTTTGGGCTTCGACCCTTTTGATCATAAAAAAAAAGTTGAAATAAAAATAAATAGTCTCCATATTCAACAAAATTAAACTTAAAAATACAAAGTTTCATATTAAAACATTTTAATCATCTTCCTCTTCCCCTTTCTCTACCTCTACCTCCCCATCCTACTCCTCCTCAACAACAACAACTCTTTTATATCCACTAACTCCTCCATATCCACCACGAGAACCTTGGTTCATTTGTGAGGCCATAAATTATTCAAATCTCTGTGCCTTCTCATTTGCAGTTTGCATTGCTTCCTCATACTCCATTGTTTTTCTTCTCACATCTTCATGCACCTCTATTTGTTTTCTCCTCATTTCTTCCACTTTTGCATTTCTTACTACTACTTTGTGTGTTGCCTCGTTATGCGTTAGTGTTATACCCCAATTTTTGCCTCTAAGCTCTCTTATCATCTCATATTATCAATACATCAAGCCCACACATTAGAGTTGATTTTCTCTTTCC